TTTGTGTGGTTGGGGGGGGGGGGGCGGGGAATTCAGTAGGATGTGGAGTGCCCCATATGGGAATTTATACTGGGGAATACCATACGTGGTATCATAACCTCCTCATCGTTGATGGTTTGACCGGGTGAAGTAAGGCTTGGAGCACAAATAAGGGAAGCTCTGCCTGCATTACCTTGGTGCTAGTATGGGAAAGAATGTTTTTTAAAAGCAAATAAACAAACAAGGGAAATGTCATATGTATTGTCAACAGATATATAATATTCTCCCACCTTGAAAACCATCTTCAGATCCCTGTTTTTTCCACAAGCTGCCTCCTAGTGTGACCCTTTCCTCTAACCATTCCCCATTTCTAACCAGTGAGTAAGTCTTGCTCCTGCTGTAGAAATTTCTGGAGATGCCTCTGAATTCTCTTTCATTTTCCAAGCCAATGTTTACAGAATAAGGGTAAGGGCTTTGAGTTTAAAGAAAAGCTGAGTTTGTTCTTTACAGGAAGCTTAGGTGCTTTCCTGGTATGATCCTTCTGCTCCGAAGTGCTCACTTTCCAGCCCCAGGAAAAGAGGGGGGGAGGGAGATGGGATAGTGCCTGCCAATTCACTTCTTTTTCCTCAAATTTTGCCTTTCTTTTATGAGACCATAAACTGTGAAGGAGGAGAACAGGGTTTGTTCCCTCACGTGACATAGCATTTTGCAAAGGGGAAAAAAAGGAGGTTGGAAGAGTTTCACAAGGATGGCTCTACTTATGGAATAGATAGGCTCTCATGAGTGTCTAATCCACCTTAATGTAATAAGTAATAATGCAACGTGTAATGTAACAGGTAATAACTCACCTCCATGTAATAGGTACTCACTGAGATGAGTGAAGAACATAAATCAGACTCATATGCATTTGCAGAAGGGCTTCAAATTCACTCTGGAGACCACCTTCTTCCATTTACGCTCTGCCCAATGGCTCCACGCTGGCTCTGAATTTAAGCACTGCCCTCTACTGGATAGCAGCAATCACATTTTATCCAAACACTGGCACCAACCTCTTTGAGGCCCAGATTATGGGAGTTCTAAGTAGAAGGAGAGAGGTAAGAAAGAAATCTGAAGGATGAACGGGTTTTGCAAAAAGAAATGTAATGGGGAAAAACTGAGGATGCATCAAGAAAGCTCAACCCGTAGGATCGTCAAGTCTGAGGCTCCAATTCTTCCTGTCTTTACTCGCTGTACTAGTCTCCTTCATGTATTTTGATTAGTCCTCATTTCTCCCAGGCAAGTCTTTCTGAGGCACCTTATGGAGAATCGCAGACGATTCTCCTTGCAGTTCACATAGAGATGATGCCAAACTTCAGCAGCAGCAATCTGATTCCCTTGGCTTTCCCCGTCCGCTTGCCAAGCTTGCCATCACTCTCTCCCACGATGACAGTCTCACCTACTTACTTGATCCCTGCCAAGCATCAAAGATTTGCAGCT